ATAGTTTCTAGAATGGNCATCCAATTATAACATGGCCAAGCTATATCCAAACATGACAGCATAAAAGAGAATAGAATCGCTTATTACCTGGGAAAGAACCCATCCTGTATTATAATGTTTATGTGAAAGTTTCATATATGTATCCAGTGCCTCCTAAACCATCCAAAATCACAACGGAGACAATGAAATAAGCATGTATAAGTTAACCTGGCCTTTGTTTCATATAATAGAGGACAATATGCTTACCTGACACATGTACATGTACGAAAGGGATGAATCTAGGCATCAAAACCAACGTAACTTCCACAGGATGCTCCAACAATAGCGATGGAAGAATCTTTGGTGAGCCTTCGAATTTCACAGGCACTCCGGTTACCATTGAAATTAAAAATATTTCATCCGAATATATACTTAGCAAATGAATAGATCACAACATGGAGAAANGAACAATACTCACCCTACAAAGAACAATACTCACNACATAGATACACACTACAACAAACCTTTGGGTTATACTCAGCATTGCGAGCNTGCAAAGCAATAGCTTTGAGGTCGAGCTTACAATCTAGGTTCACAGTTGAAACAATGTTCCTGAAACGAACAAACAAATCTTGTCATTCACAAAACACAAACTTATAATCTAAAGAGCTACAAAAGAGACACAAAACAAAACTCACTATAGTGTTGGAATAATCCCTGAAGGATGCTTACGAAGGTCAACTGGTTGGTTCCCTTCCAATCCTTGTTCAGCCATTCTCTAATCATATAACACAAAAATCAGCTAAAATCGTAAATACCAATCAAGCTAAATCAAATACAACAGTGCACAATCCAAGATTCAGAGTCCCAAACTAAAGTCACAGAAATGAAGACAAAAATGAAACAGTTATATAACATTACCGATGAGTTGGAGAAGTTGTGACAGGAGTTGCGATTTCAGGTGACTTGTGCAAGAAACTGCCACATTCTTCAGAAGCAGAATAAGAGGAAGAAGCATGTGTTGGTTGCTTATTCTCCATACATTGAATCTCAATCTTCAATTCCTCCTAAAAAATCCCACAAAAATCCAGAATTTTCACAAAGGAAGAGCAATACTTTATAACAGAAACCGATAAAGAACGAACCTTTATACACCAATCAATTGAAAATCCTTC